AAGTGGCAGGGCATCCACGTCATCCAAGAACGTTGAGGATACCTCCAGCCCTCGCTGTCTCATCCTGTAGGTGGCCAGCTCCACTCTGCCTTTCACTCTCATGAAGGTCTTTCTCTGAAAGAGAACACATGCTAGTAGAAAGAGGCAACACATATGTTGCAGATTTGAGAAGGTGGTCTTTATTATTTCTTTTCATACTCAATGTCTATTTATTGTGAATATTTTCTTTTGTTTTTGTTCAGTTTTGAATTTTAGTCTGTTCCATGAATAGCCTGGCGATGTGAATTACAATAAAGTTGAAATGGGTAAGATATAATTGCTCAAGAAAGCAATACAATGAATAAACCTGAATCTCACTCACCTTGGTCGATGTGATTTCTGACAGCTGTTTGATGATATTTTTATTTTCTGTCTTAGCGTCAAATCCTAATGATGCACTTAAACCCATGCCAGGACCAAGATTTTGGCCTCCACCAGGCATGATACCTTCACCGCCATCACCCAAACCTTCGACTTCACCGCCACCACCAGGACCTTCAGCGTCACCGCCCACACCAGGACCTCTGGCTTCACCATCCTCACTGGGACTAGCAGCTTCACCAGTCTCACCGGGGCTGGCAACATCTCCACCCTCACCAGCACTGCCAGCATCACTGCCAGCACCAGCACTGGAGGGCTCAGTAGGTGTAAACTTAAAGGTTACGCCCCCTTCAACAGATCTGGATGATTCTCTAGTAATCTCTTTTATTAACGAGTGAATGTCCTCGTACATCTCTTTGGAGCTGCTCTCTTCCACTTTTGTCTGAAGATAAAGAGACAAGGGTCAAGACTAAAAATAGTATTTTTAAGAAGTGTGTCTGTCAGAATTTAAGTGCTTTTGCTTGTTGGTTTGTTTGTCTTGCAGTCATTTTTAGGTTTTATTTTTTTTAACTGTTGCTTTTTTTTTTTTTTTAAGTTTTGCTCTCAACAAATACCCAAAACCTTTGTTAAACAACAGTTGACATCATGTAAACTGAGAGACTCACCTCATAGTTGAGAACTCCAACATTCCAGGGTAGTCTGTTATATTCCAATGTAGATGGATCTCTGATCCGATTACATTGGCCATTATATAATTTGTTGTTAAAGGGATTCATCCGAGGTCCAGATCCCAGAATATTTATTCTGTTGAGAGAAGATTTTCGATTCGATTTAGTGAAAAATTTTCACTGGCCCCATCACCACAAAAAATGTAATAAATAAATAATACAGATTTAGTTGTTTTTGACTAGAGCCAGACCGATATATCGGCCGTCCAATATAATCGGCCGATATTAGGCATTTTCCAAAATATCGGTATCGGCAGTTTTAATGGCCGATAAATGAATATTTAAAAAATAAAATAAAACGGACGAAACACGCTTCAATCATCTCTCCTTGGCCTGTTATATTGAAAATGTATGTTTTACAATTTGCAGTATGATGTTATCTATTGCTAAATTATGGCTCATCATAGACTAGCTAACCATAAAGCTATAGCTAATGCCACTATCATCAGTGGAAGACCGCTAACGTTAACATTAATGAGCTTGGAAACCACAATGAACTTTTTCTGCCTAAATAAAGTAATTATTACTGTATTTATAACTAGCATATCTCTAGTTACAGTCCCTGCATTGTAAAATGTAAGTTATACCTGCGAGGAGTAAACATTTAGACATAGAGAAAAAGTATCAAACGTATCTTGTGCAAATAAGTTAGCTTTTCTTTTACACGTGTGTGAAATCCAACAATATTTAATAAAAAAAAATATCGGCCGATATATCAGAATATCGGATTTTAAAACCTAAAAATATTTGTATCGGTATCGGCCTCAAAATCGCTTTATCGGTCGGGCTCTATTTTTGACCCATGTATCCTTGACTTGTATTGTATCCTTGTAATTCTCGATTCCAATTTTAATACCACTGCTAAGATCCATTTTGAACATTATACATTTTTTATTTATTTATTTGAAAAAATACAAATTATTTTTTCAGCATTTTTTTTCAATTTATTGGAAAAGTTAAAAGTTCATTTCATTTGAAAAGTTACAAAAGGCTCTGACCCGTATCCAGCTTGGAGGGCTATGTCAGACTCAAATACAGCCGTCCTGCCGCAAGGTGTCCTGATGACGTCACACTCGTCTTCATCGGACGTATCTGTCTCTCCACAGTCGTGATCCCCATTACACTTGAGATTTTTGTTTATACATATTCCTGAGGGTAAAGTTATATACTTAATGCTGAATATTGCTTAGCAATTTACCCTACAACTAAATATCTACTGGCCACAAAACAAAATGCCAAAAATAAAAAAATAAATAAAAAATACTGACCTGAAGCGCACTGCCATTGAGAGCTTTTGCAGACGGGTGGAGGGTCCATCTGACATTTGGTAGAAGGTTTACAGGTTCTCCGCTCTCCAATTGGGTTTATGCACCTAGAGCCTTTAAACTGCCCAAAGACCTCAATACCTCTAGAGCGATGCTGTGTTACACAAGCACATGTGAACACATTTCTTCAAAACATTATTAATTCAGAATGATTTCAGATGACAATTTTTAAACAACATTATTTATAGAGAAAGTGACAGAGAAGAAAAGTTACTCCAGTACCGTGGTATTAGTGCACGGGTCACAGGATGTCCACGGGGTCCAGGCACTCATTTTGCAGTCAATTGATGCAGGATCATTAATTTCCCGCACCTCCCGTCTGGGCCCTCGCCTTTGAGAAAGACAATGATCGCCATTATAATAATAACTTGCAATTCCAACTCCATTTTGATGAAATTGTGCATACTTACATGTGGTCTGTTATGCTCTTTCCATTAGCCTGATAAAAAAGGCAAATAGTTACACATAAAGCAGCTAAAGCCTTCATGGTGAAGCTTTGGACAGTCCTTTGATTGTGTGTTGAAATGTGTACACTTGTATTTAAGCATTGATTTAACGTTAATAATTAAGCTTTTTAGAGTTGAAGAGATTTGGAAATGTGTGTCTCCAAAAGTTTTGTGTATATCACTGTGCTTTCCCTTAAATCATGTGAGGCCACAGCATTTACCGCAACTGTCTAATGTTAAACTTTCCGACCTAATGAATTGCTATTTACCGGAATTTTTGTACGTCACAGAATCTATATTTTCTTATAGAACATTTCTTCTTTTAAGTGCTTTAGCATTCTATATAATATTAAACAACAGTAAGAGTAGCCCATGTTTATGTTTCTAGACAGATGAGGAATGTATCTCCAAATAAAATATTTGAATGTTACCCAATCCTTGAGTGTTCTATTTCTTTTATATATTTCAAATTGTATTTATTTTTGAAAATACAACAAATTCTATAAAACATAAAATTAGTTAAGTGATTCCTATGTTTTCTCACTTTAGTTTAAACTAGGTTTTTCTGACCATGAGAGCCTTGATTTCACAAACATGCTGAAATCTCAAACAAATTCTATTGACATATCAGAAGTCCAGAGTTTTTTTTTTTTTAAGTTAATCTTAAAGGGAAAGTTCACCAAAAAAATTAAATTACATTTTTTAATATAACTCAGATTGTATTCGTCTGAAAGAAGAATGTCTTACACACCTGACTTGAGGGTTTGTAAATCATGAGGTTATTTTATTTTTTGGGTGAACTTTAATGCACAATCCTATGAGGATCTGCGTGTTATAAGACACATTATTATTACTTCTATTTGAAACCTTTCATATAAATCATAAACGCATGTATTTTATTTTATAAGTGTAGATTAAAATTTTTTTTTAAGTGACCTATCAGCAATTTGTGCTAAGTCAGCTGCCTTCTCCACTCATCAAATTCAACCATGCCACAAAACAATACAGCTCTTTGTGCAGGGTCAAAGAGGAACTTTGAGCTGTCAAAGTGAACATAGATCCTGTCCTGTAACACAGCTATGTGCTGAGAACACCACTTTTTAATGTTTCAGACGCTTCCCCTCGGCTCACTCAGGAAGGTGGATCGGACATGAACTGCACTCCTCTCCTCTTTTCCTGTTTTTTGGGGCACTATTACTGGAAGATTAGTCCAATTGCAATTCAAAAACTTCAGACGTCACTCAGTTCTTCAGCTGAGTCTAAAACATCTAGACCTGCTTTGTCAGATAATCTAAACTCATAATATTCTTTTTTTCTAAATCATACTATTATTCAATCCTACAACATTATTAATATTATAAAATGAGCAGAATTTTCTTTTTAGTTTAAGACTTCATATGCAAATAGAATGACACTTAGTTCATTTCTGAAGCAAACTTTACATTCAGAGCTGTCAGAATTTAGTAAATAGATTTTGCTAATTTCTCATCCTTACACAATGCAAATACTAAAATCGCTATGGAAAAGCGGCCTTCTGCTCTTCCCTGCCGGAAGCTGAGTAAGTGAAATCTTTGACACATACCACACACCAGCTCTTGTGTACAACTCTTACAATGATATTGCCAGCCAAATACGTTTCATAGAAAACGAGGAAAATCTCAAATGATAAATCAAACATACCAATGATCCCTGAATGATGACATCAGTCACACGTACATGCTCAAATTTTTGAGTGAAATGCCCTAAATAATCATTATTCCCCTTTAAAAGATTCACATATCAGTAATAAAACAGAAAAATAAATGCCATGGTTGTACGGCAGCTGAAAGTCCTCAGTTGTCTTGTCCGTCAAGTCCATCAGGACGTGTTGCCCTGAGATAACTGATAGTCATTTCATTTGTGTTGTTTTGTTTCAATAGCCAACACAATTCCTTTAGAAAAAGAGAAAAAAAAAGAGAGACTGCATTGACCTTTGTTAGTTTTCTCATCTCTTTTAAACCCTTTCTCCCTTTGCCAAGCTCTTATACTGCATGTCAGCAGTGTCCGCAGAGGAAGGGTAGTGAGGAAGGAAGGATGAGCAGAGAACAGAGAGCTGCATTTCTTTACTAGCTTTCATAACGTTCGCTGGCTTAATGCAAAGGAAATCTGCACAGTTCTATGTAGGCTAAGTGCGGGCCTATGTAAACTGTCACTTTAATAGGCCTAAATCTTTCAAGAGAGATTACCTTATTAATTTAAAAACAGTGTTCAATTCAAGGTTAATCAATCAGTGGCATTAGCAGCATTGTTATAAAGGTCAAGGTGCGCGGTAACCTACATGTGGGAGGGGCTCAAGTCTCCGCCAGTGTGGCACTCGGTGGCGAGCGAGCAGTTTGAGGAGGAGGACCGCCTGTTTGGAGTAAGAGTGGTTTGGGTTTATACTCATTGCAACTTTCCACGGCGCTCATCAGCATTGATTTGAGTTTGTTATCAGTTTTTCAGGTGTGGAGTTCAAGAATGCATCATTGCGGTAAGTTACAAAGGCACTTGCGCGGCAACCTCTAGTGTTAGCCTACCTGTGGCATTTTGATAGTTGACTGTCAGTGCGGCATGTGTTGGTATTTAACTTGATGGCATTATAAAGGAAACGTTTCAATGATGAGTTTTATTTAAAAAAATATATAAATTACTTGACATGATTACAGAAGATTTTGAATTTGACCACGTGTCATTTAAGAGCGTCAATATTTTAAACAAGTGAATTGGGTAACACTTTATTTTGATGATCCCTTTTGAACATTCACATTCTGTTGACTAAGTAACTTTGCAACTACATGTCAACTACCTCTCATTAGAGTATTAGTTGACTGTCTGCTTAATATCTGACAGCTCTTTATTGTGATGCTCCTCCAACAGACAATCTACTGAATATAAGTAGCCTAACTTTGCAACTACATGTCAACTAGCCTACTATTTATTCTATCCCTAACCCTACCAGTCTACTAATACTCTACTAACACTCTAGTGAGAGTTAGTAGAGATGTAGGTGCAATGTTAGTCAACTGATTATGTTAAAGGGACAATCCAAATAAAGGGAAATTGTGAATTGTTTTAAAAGGGGGGAAAATACTGAATACACACAATCATATGCTACAATTTTAGTATGTAAATTATAAAAAATTATTATAATACATATTAGTGTAGCCTAGCAAGCCTAACATGCATTTTCTCAGGCATTAAAATCCGTGCTTTGTTTACAGAATGTCTCAACCAGGAAGAATTACAATCAAGTTATAAATTGCCTTCCCAAGTTCATAGGTCTCATTTGCCCCCCCCCCCCCAAAGGTTAAATTGTGCATGCTTGTGATACTGCTGAGGTGGAATTTTGCCAGTTTATGAACACCCTCCACTATTGCTGAATCCTCTGTTTTAATGAAACTTAACTGTTGTGACTTTTGGGTTCATCTAAGTTACTGAACAGCCAGGGCCATGAGACTAGTCCTCATGGTATAAACAAGAAATTATAGGAATTTCACTGAAAGGTGTTCAGTTTTTAACACAAGGATATCCCAGTCTCAGATAATGGACCTTAGAAGTTCTAAAAACAGCCAGGAGGAAGTTCTAAATAAAAACAATTAAATAAGTTAGAATTCAGAGACTTCATTTTCTGAGCTTGGTCCTCCATCTTGTCTACCTGGCCTATCTAGGTTAATGTGTAGATGGTCACAAGATTCCTTGTGTCTCAGAATATTCAGTCATTCAGGCCATCACAGAATTTCTGAAGCATCTGTGCATTCAGATGGGAAAAAATGTATCAATTTTCTTGACTTCTCCATTACATTTATGACTTAAATTGAGAAACTAAATGTACGAATTGGCAGGCAGAAGAAAGTTCTGTTTAATACTGTTCATAGTGTGCTGTGATATTTTTAACTAGATGCCATTTTTCCCTTCTCTGATCAGCTGTAAGAGATGTTTGAAGTATGAGCATTGTGATTTTTATGAATCTGTTGCCGTTCATAACCCTTGTTTAAAAGTAACTTTTATGCCTGCGTTTCACAGCTAGAAAAAAGGTGAACTTTTTATCACAATTTTATTATGTGCTTGTGCTTGTTTGAAAGCATGGAGATTACCTACTTGGGTGCTTGTAAAGCAGAAAACACAGAATCTTCATTTTGCTTGCCACTCTTTTATGGTTTTATGGTTGCCTGTATTACAGGCTATTATGCACTGTATGACCCTGGATATGCAGTAATGAGAATTCTTACAGCCATTCTGCCACTGTTTTCCACTCTTGATGATCAACTCAGCTGATAAACTTCTCATATATCTGGCTCTGTCAGCTGTTTAGTGTCATAAAACATGACTCTTCTAGTTTTGTCATTACTCTTGAAACGCATTTGATTTGCGAAGTAAATTTGTCTGAATTCTCATTTAAAGTGTGTATACCTAAAAGTATTTCATCCCTAAGGCATTATAGTGGTTTCTTTTTCCTTTTTTGTCTTTTCCTTGTTGTAAAGGTCAAAAAGATGCTCATGGTCATATGACCTAATAATACAACTTTGGTTTTATAAAACCTTAATGATTTTATGATGCCAATTTTCTTTCATAGTCTGTGTGGACATAATTGGAATGGACCCTGATATATTTTCTGCTCCATTTTGTCATCTTGTTACTGCTTTGGGCTCCTGTTGCATTGATTATGTAAACTCATAAGCTTGTGCTAAATATTGGTCATGACATCTTCATGTAAGATAAAGAACAGATAATCTGAGTGCATCAGACAGATTTTCTTCTCAAATTTAACCCGGGAAAAGTAATTCTGCCCCAAAACCTGCGCTGAAATGAGAACATTTGGGTAATCTTGAAAATCATGGGATTAGAGCTTTTTTTTTTTTTTTTTTTTTTTTTCCCGGCTGATGAGCTGCTGGAAAAGGATTAACAGATTTAATTGCTCAACCTTTGGTCTGCCCACCTTTGCTCTTGCTTGCTTTTTCCTCTTTCTGCTGAAAAATATGCAGCTAAACATTATTGGGTGCTCGTAAGGTATGTCTTTCAGAACATTTGATCATCTTTTCTTTCCTTTTGTTGAATGAGCCGTTTCACCTTAACTGATTAATATCTGTGGAGATGTTTATCCATCTGTTGGGGGATCTTGTATGCGTGAGACTGTATTTTATGGTTTAGATGAACAGTCTTTTCTTTAGTCTCTGAAATTAGTTCATGATGATTACTTATATCCATTTTGTTTCTAAAGGTTGCCTTTTTTCAGGATTTTGGGAAAACTTATTTGGCACTTTTTCCCCCACTTTTTTTTTTGTCTACTAAGCAGGAAGTGTTTTTTTTTTTTTTTTTTTTTTTTTTTTTTGTTAATGCTGTTTCCTCTCCTTCCTGTCTTTTTTTTTTTTTTTTGTCACTAATAGAATCAATGGCCCAAGTAAAGTTAGTTGGCAGAGTTTTACATTTCTTGATGTGTACTTTATGTGATGCCTTCTGAATTTAAACAATTTAGTTGGTTGTACATGTAGACCCATGGTTCTTGTTAAAGGAGTAGTTCAGGATTTTGGACATTAGGCCTTTTTCTGAGTTAGCCTTTGTTCTTTATCAGTGGAGGCAGTTTTCCCAGTTGCATAGTTTGCCGGTGCTAGGCTAGTGCGAGTCAATGTTAACCGCTAGCCTGGCATTAAAAACAGTTTGTTTGTACACCAAAAGCAAATTTATAACACCAGACTTTCGATGTAAATGTCTGTTATATTTGATAAATGACACTAAGGCTAACTTGAAATGAGGCCCGATGTCCAGTTCTGAACCACCCCTTCATATTTGAATAAGCAAAAAAAAAATCAACTGACAGTGTCATGAATAAAAGAAATACACATCACATTTCAATGTTCTCGATCAATTTCATTCATCTTGGTTTTTCTTTTTTCTTGGTCCAGGCGCAGTGCTGAGAATGTGTGTTTGCTGAATATCCTACCTGGATTTTTTTTTTTTTTTTTTTTTTTGCCTTCGCCTGGTTTTGTCCCCTCTTTCGCTTCCATTCTCCTGTAACGAAGCACCCATCATGTCGCAACCATCTGATGCTGAGCCAGTTACTGTGGTACCAGCAGAACCAGCATCAACCACTGAGCCAACATCTGTAACAACACCCACTGCACCTGTGACCAGAACTTCATTCTGGAGGGAAAGGAGAAAAAGTATAGTCTGGCAGCTTTAAAAAAAAAAAAAATTAAATGCGTGGTTGCCACCAAACACATGCAAATATTTTTTTCCCTCTCTTTGTGTGTGTAATGCATGCGCACATGCTTATCCTGTTCCTCCACAGTCCCAGAGAAGACAGATGAGTTTCTGCTCGCCAGGTTTCAGGGTGATGGAGTGAGATACAAAGCCAAGCTTATTGGTGTGGATGATGTCTCAGAAGCAAGAGGGGATAAAATGTGTCAGGATTCCATGATGAAACTAAAGGTGCATATTCAAGATGGCTTTATTTCTGTTGTTGTTGTTGGTGTGTATAGAATGAAGGGTTCAGATGCAAAATCCTCTAAGGGCCATCTGAAAATTTCTTCTAGAATGAATATTTTTATCAAGCTTGTATATTTAAGTTCAGTAATTTCACTTTAATGACAATTAATTGGTAACATTTTCCCCTTCTCATATGTATGCGTGTATAAATGAGAGAGAAAGACAGTAAGTCCTTCAGATCTTACAGTGTATTGTAATGGCTTTATTTTAAGCTGTTATTTAATAGTAGCAGGGTTTGTGGTGCACAGTGTGAAGGCAATATTATTATATTCTGTTATAAGTGCAGTTATTGTTGGTAGGAACTGTACTCCGCTTTTGTTTGTGTACAGGGCATGGCAATAGCTGCTCGTTCTCAAGGCAAGCACAAGCAAAGAATATGGGTGCACATCTCTCTAACTGGAATTAAAATTGTTGATGAGAGAACTGGGGTGAGTAGTTTTGTGGATGCTTAAAGGAGTAGTTCACTTTTGATGATAATTTACTCACCCTCATGTCATCCAAGATGTCCATGTCATTCTTTCTTCAGTCGAAAAGAAATTAAGGTTAATGAAAACATTCCAGTATTGTTCTCCATATAATGCACTTTAATATAATGCACTTTGTCCAAAAGACACTTTCAGTACAAACTGCAAACTGTTCAAAGGGCTTTAAACGATTCCGGACGATGAATCAAGTAAAACCTCGCTCATTTAAAAAAAAAAAAAAAAAGTATACGTTTTATAAGCTCAAATGCTCGATGCACATTTGTGACTCCTGTTTGAACTCGTTCATCAAAATGAACAAGTCTTTTTCCGAGTCATTTGGTTCATTCAATGAACAAAACGAACTCTGGAAAAAATTGACTCGGAAAAAGACTTGTTCATTTTGATGAACGAGTTCGAACAGAAGAGTCATGAACGCGCATCACATAACAGAGCAAGGCGAGCATTTGAGCTTATAAAACTTAAATTTTGTCCTTGTGTTTTTTTAAATTAACGATCATTTCGCTTGATAAAACCCTTATTCATCGTTTGAAATCGTTTAAAGCCCTTTGAACAGTTTGCACTGAAACTGTCTTTTGGACCTTGAATCGTTTGATTACCAGTAAGGTGCATTATATGGAGAAATCCTGGAATGTTTTCATCAAAAACCTTAATTTCTTTTCGACTGAGGAAAGAATGACATGGACCTCTTGGATGACATGGGGATGAGTAAATTATCAGCAAAAGTTTTTTTCAAGAGTGAACTACTCCTTTAAAGGGTTAGTTTACCCAAAAATTATGTCATTAATGACTCATGTTGTCCCAAGCTCGTAAGACCTCTGTTCATCTACGGGACGCAGTTTAAAATATTTTAGAGTTAGTCTAGAGGTGTTTATGGAGATTTGTACCATGTATATATTTTCTGTCCCTCCATGAAAATGTATACATGTCCTTGTAGAAAGGAAATAAAGACAGCATCAAAGTAGTCCATGTGACACCAGTAGGTTCGTTAGAATGTTTGGAGGCGTTTAAAATACATTTTGGTTCAAAAATAACAAACTATGACTTAGTTCAGCATTGTATTGTCTTCCGGTTCTGTTGTCAATCTGCATTCAGTGACGCTGCTGGTGATGTGTATCTGGTGGGTCTGTGTATTCGGGTTCAAATAAATATGGCTGGGCAAAAAAAATGCAAGTCTTCCTCTGTGTCAGTCCTTAAACATGTTTGCAAAGATTGGTTTGTTTACAGTGTGCATTTCCCTCAGACTGTAAACAAGCTCAATCGCACCAGATAACACGTCAGCAGTGCCTTACATCATTGGCGTCACTGAATGCGACTTGACAACAGAACCGGAAGACAATGCAATGCTGAAAGTTGTAGTTTTTTTTTTTTTGGACAAATGTGTTCTCGATGCCTAACTAACCCACTGGTGTCACATGATGGACTACTTTGTCTTTATTTCCTTTCTGGACAAGTACAGTATATCGTACTGGGACAGAGGGACAGAAAGCTCTCGGACTAAATCTAAAATATCTTAAACTGTGTTCCAAAGATGAACGGAGGTCTTGCGGGCCTGAGGGTGAGTCATTCATGACGTTTTCATTTTTGGGTGAACTAACCCTTTTAAGTTGATGTGTGAAACTAATTACTGGTCATGTCATAAATATCTGACTTTATAGCATGCTCTCATTTCGCTCTCTCTCAGGTGATTGAGCATGAACATGTGGTGAATAAGATCTCTTTCATTGCTCGTGATGTCACTGATAACCGGGCCTTTGGATATGTTTGTGGGGCAGAGGGGCAGCACCAGTTTTTTGCTGTTAAAACAGCTCAGCAGGTTGGTGTTTGTTCAAACCCAGAATTCTGGATAATGGAAGGCTATGTTTGAAACCTGGTGTAAAATAATTATTTTGCCATTATTTTTGTTGTCGCTTAGAAAAGACGCAATAATAAATAAAAAATATTACAACATGGATGGAATGTTATCTCCAGTGTAAGCAGAGCACTCATGTATTCTGTTGTCAATTCCTCTCTTTCAGGCTGAGTCTCTGGTCACTGATTTGAAGGATCTGTTTCAACTAATCTTCAATATGAAGAAGAAAGAGGCTGATCCACTGAAGGTGATGTGAATATAATTTTAATACTTTAAAACAAAAGCATTTACATTTTATTTAGGTTTTTTTTTTATTACTTTTGTCTAAAATATGAGGAACGAGTTTGGTAGAGGCTAGAGATTTGTCTATTGGTGAACAAAGCTATATTGAGTACTCAAGACTCAAAAAGACTTTTTTTAGAACAGCTCTCAATGGTTGACAACTGAATATTCAGTTTTTCATAAACTGTGGTTTTGAGAACATGTTTTCATAAACATTTTTAACCTTTTTTCCTATTGTTCGATTAATTTTACTTTTACTGACTGAACCCTTTAATACTTTGCAGGGTGAAGGAAATGGCGCTGTGATTGAGGTGGGTGTAAACCATTTTTGGGTGATGTTTTAATGTAATCTTTCATTCATGTCTTAAAGGTTTAGTTCACCCAAAAATGAAAATTCTCTTTGACCTTCGAACACAAACGAAGATATTTTTGATTAAATCTTAGAGCATTGAAATCTTAATATTATGAAGCGACTAGAATTTGTGTAAATCCTAATGCTCCATGCTCGTACCATGATACCGTTACATTTGTGGTGTTATCTAGCTTTAGGTATTTCACTAACTATTCGTGTATCTTTCACAATCAGCAATGTCAACAAAGGTGAATGTATATGATAACGAAAACGGTTGGTGAACTAGACTGAACAATTTCAGTGTAACAGTAATATTTTACGAAGTAACATTACTGTACTGAACATGTCTGGAAATGTGTATTATAAACAACACGATAGTAGTGGGATGAGTGATGTTAGACAGTGGATCTAGTACATAAAATAAGTTCCATTCTAAAGCACCAACTTTTTGTTATTCTAGAACAGTCTTTTGTATTCATTTTATGTCTCATGTTGTGGTTTACCTTGCTATTTCATTAGTTTACGATTATTTCAGGATATCTGAACTTCTTTTATAAGTGTAATTTATCACAATAAAAATAATGGAGGTCTCTCCATATTTCAAACACTCTGCCGTGTTGATCTGTGTCTTCACACTTTTCTTTCAATGACCCCTTCACACTCAGGGAATAAAAAAGGATTAATTTTAGAAAAGTTACATATACCACCTTTAACGATGTTTCTACTACCTTTCCGGGCCTTGAAGTTGCAATGATGTTGCGGTCTATGGAGGGACAGAAAGCTCTTAAATTATTCAAACATATTTTCATATGTTCCAAAGATGAACATGGGTTTTACGGGTTTGGAATCATATGAGGATGAGTCGTTAATGACAGAATTACGATTTTTGAGTGAACTAACCCTATAATGTTTGGTCATCAGAATGGTGGTGGTGGTGGTGGTGCTTTACTCAACCTGGATGGACAAGAAAATGCTGTAAAAGTAAGTGCTTTTATACAAAACGGCAATTTTCATACAAATTAGAAAATTGTGGAAAAAAAGAGAACAACCCCCAAATGGACCTTGGGAATCCTCAAATAACCTAGTGGTGTCATGTTTTGTTATTCTCAGACCGTAGAGCAGATGGACCTGTTTGGCAATATGTCCACTCCACCTGACATTCACTCTCCTACGGTAATGACCCTACAGTATGCATTTGGCAGTGGTTCTGCTGTTGACATGTTTTAAGGGATTTATTAAATAATTCCTTTAACAAATATATTCCCAGATTTTATGGAAGCACATGGGTAGCAATATTCAATTTGAGTTGTAGTATTTTTTTTTTTTTCCAACAGCTCAAAACGCGTAACATAGCCATAACATGTTCTGTTTACCTGTTGTTGCCGAGCCCCGCCTTGATGCAGTGATTGACAGGCCAGGAGGGGGCGGGAATGCGTTTTCAATGTGCACATTGAATTTTGCTACATTCATTGTGGGACATTTCATGAAAATGCAATCGCAAGTGTCTTGGCTGTGTGTAAATGCAATTAAGAAAAAATAACATTTGAATGATCATTTTGCCACAGTTTTTGCTTGAACATGTTACTATATCTAATCCTTTCTGTAATGCATTTTAATGTTAATTTTGCCACTTATAAAGCATTTCAATATGCATATTAAAACTAGTGTATGAAATGGCAAATGTAAATTATGTAACTTCATTTTGCACCAAACGTTGCTAGAATGGTAATGTAAATTTAAATAAAGAATGCAATGCCTTTTTACATATTGCATATTACATTTCAAATTGAATATTGCTACCTATGTGCTTCCATACATGTTTAGAATGAGCATAGAGTTTGCCTTGCATGTGGCTAGATTTCTTGTCTTATTTATTTCTTCCCTAAATATAATCTTCCCTGTCCTTTTGAGTTCTTAACATACTAAAGTATTTGCTAGTATCTTCTGTTGACATCTAACAGTCATCAGTCAGCCCTCTTTTCTCATTTAAAGGTCTCAAGCGTTTGCTTTTTCTTGACCAAATTCTTTTTTACTGCTAAATGCTGTTGGGGAAAGTCCCATTGGCCAGTAGATGGCACCCAAGCCCATTAAATGAGAAAAGAGCACTTCAATTACTGGTGGTTAAGATGCTTCCTATGGAAACTTTCATGTTATATGATGCTATAACTACCTTCCTATTTTCTTTCAGTATGTTTCATGGTCTATTTGACAATTATCTTTTTTTTTTCCTTCTAAAACCAGCCTGAGAGTGTTCTTCTGCTTGACTTTGCTTTGATTGATGGCAAACAAGAAAATCCTGTCATCTGCTACCCATCTCCTCTCTCCAATAAATTAGACGACAAACCGGTTTCCTTTACATCAGATCTTTTCCCAACTCCTAGTTCCGATCTCTTCAGTGATGATCCCTTTTCTCCCTTGAATGATTTCACACAATCAGATTCCATGTTTTCTTCCAATAACAAGTCAGATATTTCTAGTTTCCTCTTAAATGGATCAGACTTGCAGCAAAGCCTGAGTAAAGACTCCACTTCACACAGTCAGCAGTTTAATGGACTGTCCGGTGCCCAGTTGTCCCATGAAAGTCAAAATGCACAATTAAAGCAGCTTCCTTTAAGCAATCTGAACAGTGACGGCAATTCCCTCTTTAGCCAGAATCCTTTTTTGAGCACCTCAATGAACAACCCGTCTATCTTAAACGGGGTATCCAAATCAGGTCCTCCTGTCTTCCAAAGTCCTCTCTTGTGTAATGAATCAAGTCAATCACTGGCATTGTTTCAAACCATCACGCCACCTTCTGTTCAAAATGGAGGCTTGATGGTCCTTTGCCCCCCACCCCAAAGTTCGAGGTCCAGATGCATGCGGAGGAGAGGGAAGGTGAACATGTGGCAAGAGAACCCCCCCCCCCCCCTCTACAAAGCTCTCTGTCTGTATTAATTCACATACCATTGAGAGGGACTATAAGGGCTGTGTTTTATTGCATAAATGGCATAATGTAATCAGTATTTTAAAATGATAAAAGTGTGCATCTTTACTTGAATGTAAAGATGTTCACGTTGTCTAAATGCTTTGAGGCTTGAGAAAGAATGGATGTTTAAATGATTATGATTTTAAAAAGTCCTTGTGGTCTCAACTCATTCACTGATAGATTTATGGTTTAGGGTGTTTTTGTTTTTTTGTTTTTTTCACATTGGAAAAAATTGGATGGAAACTCTCACATTATTAACTTGTGTTGAGGGACATGGCATTGTTGTCCATGTACTGCAGTGTCTTTAATTGATTATACTTTTTGCTGAGAAAGAAAGCTACCAAGTTTTATGCTAATTGACTGGTCCTTTTTCTCTATTCAATTGTAGAAGCTAGATGCATCCATACAAAATGGTTCATTTTAATTAATTATTTTTTTTTTTTAAACCTAACTTAATTGTGTATGTACACAACAATGTCATGGGAATCCCTGAAAGCAATACTGCATGCTTCATACCTTAGTTTAATTGTGCAACGGGAAAATGTATTCGAGTAAACCATCTACAGATATACGGTGTGTGTATCAAACTTGGCTGACAACCTTTGACACCTTTGGTGGTTTAAAATTGGTCTCTTTCTCAGTGGCAGCATTCCACATCTATTTTTATTTTTTTTTATTTTCATGTCATTTGGCACTGTAATTTTGCTTAATTGCAGAGTACTAAAAAAAAATTTTAACCACTGTGCCTCCACAGTCACCTGGAAATGACATGTTTGGAGCTGAACTCTTTGCTCCACCAACCCAGGAGTCTCAGTCCTCGAATCAGAATTCATCCATTCCAGCGGACTTATTCAACAACACTCCTTCCTCCACCATCAATGCTCTTGGTATAATGCATGCTTTATTAGTGTAACTGAATTGGCTGATCTAATAATTACATTTGTTTTTGTTTTTTTTACTTCAGTTTTATTTTTTCTCTGTATGAAGAACAACTGGTATTTATACTGTGTGAAGAAAACTATCAATTGTGGTATTATGCAGGCAATGTAAAAAACAAACAAAACTACTAAATCTGCATTTAGTGTAAATTAATATACAGTATGTGTCATTGTAGATCTTCATTTTCTCTTGTAGTGCCCCTGGGGTCTGCTGAGCATGATTTAGATTAAATTTGTTTTGTATTTTGTTGCTTTTTGGTTTTTCTCTGTAGGTTCATTGTCTTTAGGCCCTACTTCTGTCACTCAAACTCCTGGGACAGCTCCATCTCTATGGGGTCAAACTCCCACAATGTTTCCTCCTCAGAGCGGTTTTCCTCAAGTAACGGTTCCAGGACAACCAAATCCTCTTCCTCAACCATCTGCTTTTGGAGGCCTGCCTGCACCTGCATGGGGGCAGCAAGGGGCTTTGTCTTTTGGTCCATCAGCTGCCTCACAATCCTGGGGTCAACCGGGAATCGCACCACCTGTTGGGGCCTGGCCCACCGCTTGTCCTGGGGTCAGTCCTTTCCAAGCAAACCAATTTGCGCCCATGATGCCTCCTAATGCAATAATGAGTATGCAGCAGGGTGCAGTTGTTCCTCCTCGCCCTCCACCACGTCCTCCAGTGAAAGAAGAACTCCCAGTGGTCAAAAGTGCCTTTACAGCTTTGGACCCCCTTGGGGAGAAGGAGAAGAAGACTGGAAAAGACATGTTCAAAAATTTCCAGATGGTTAAGCCCCAGAAAGCAGAACAAGAACCTGGTCCAAACACCAATGGCTCATTTGACCAGTACTTTTCCAGTAAGGTTGGCCTGGCTCAGGAGGTGGCAGATCATGATGACTTTGACATAAACCAAATCTCCGTGAACTCAAATGGTACACATTTAATTATCAGCTGCTACTTGTGATTAAGACATGCAGCCTAGTCATTTTGATAGTTTGATCATTAAAATTCCCCATTTTGTGTCCAGGGACTTCCAAACTTGTTCCTCAGCAGTCCCCTGCAACTGTTTCCAGTCTGACTCCGGTCCCAGCCGCGGGACTTTTGGATGCTACCTTCACTCCAAATCTAGTCCCTGCAGGCTCAAACCTTTTTGATGACACTTTTGGAACTAACCCTTTTGGAGCACCACCTATAAATACAGTACGTGACACCATGCGTTTATACTGTGTTTTTGGGATTGCAAATTTGATTTTCTCTTTTTAACGTATTTATATTGTGAATGGGTTTCGTTGTCTTATGTTTTTGTTTGTTTTTCACAGAGCACTCCAGCCACTCAGACTACTGCTCTCGCAGATGCTTTTGGGGACCCGTTTGGGGGAAATCCTTTTGCCTGAGAAACTTTAGCACTGCTGGTACATAACTACAAATATTTCTTAATGTTTTGCAATACATGGATCATATTTCTTAAAGATTTCAAATTAGCTTGTTATGTCAATGCATTGCAAGGCTTTGTTTTATTAACATAAATGCACTGAATAATGCATGCTTTTCATGCATTTTATTTCAGTATACACCCACTGATCCAGTGCTGCTGAGCCTGAGAAACACAAGCACTGTAGAGTTGCTATCAGCATTCTACTACATTTCTATTCTGTTTGCATTCCCACTGTATATCTGTTGTAGCCTTTCTTTCTGTGACTTTTCAACTGAACACAGCCCTTTGTCTTCCAGCCCATTCCGATCAACCATTTAAATTTCAAGTCACTTATAAAATAAGATGCACAGTAAAGTAGTTGAAGGAGGGTTCTTCTGTAGAGCGTAATGGAGAAGAGAGAATAAAAGATGATCATGTTTGTGTAAATGATTTCTCTATGCAATTATCCTGAGCATTTATGAAGTTAAATATGCTTAATCCTAATGATTTGTCATTAAAGAAAGTTAAATAATATCTGGCTCTGTTTTTCCCCTGTGTTAAAACATTTAAAATGATCGTTTAGCTTCTTGCTTAATTTAGCATAGTAGAATCTGAGCAATTATCAGTGTTGTTTAATGTATCATACTACGTACTATATCTGACTTTTAAAAGTTGTTTACAAGAATTCTCTAGAGCTGTGATAAAGACTGTAAGTGCATACTATTGTACAACGGCATCCGTTACCATAGTAAAAGAAAAGCACTAAGATGTGACCAGACTACAGAGGCCATTAATGAAACAACACTATTGCCAGTGTGCCCATTGTCATGTGCCAAGAATTTGCCATTACCCCTTTAGTTCTATTTATACAGAAAGGATGGCATCATTCTGTGTATGTCAGATTGTAACACAGAGGTGAAGGATTTGCCAAGCCTCTTTGTTAACTTTTGGCACTGGGTGATTTGGGATGAATACTTAATAGACAAGAACAGTATAAAAGAAGTGAGTGGCAACTTTCTGTAGCTTTTTGCTAGTCTTCATGTCCGCTTTACTGTTGCTATATTAGAATAAGATATTCAAAGCTCCAAAACAAATGGTTTAGAAATTAAGTTTAAAGATGCCTCGTCCTTTGTTTTACCGTAATGGTTGCTGGGACCCTCTTCAGGAGGGAACACAAAAAAACATTTTCAATCAAAACACCGACCTCCCATGTTTCCTTGAGCCTGATGAGGTTAGCTGGATAGATTCAGCCAGGAAAAGATTAGCCACATCAACCTGGCCAGGATCTATGCGTTCACATCTATTCAGCTCTTTGTGCATGGAGATTCCTCCTAAATCATGTTTTGGACGTGAAGGACGGGATTCTCAACCCGTGTGTGAACAAATGAAAGGACAGCAAAACTGGAAAGTCTGTCTAGATGTCAGTCCATATTCTCCAGAGGATATAAGCATCAAAACCAAGGAGGGATATTTGGAGATAACAGGTAGGATGACCTTGATATGTCTGGCTTTGGTCTATTTATAATGCACTGCATATATATGTTGCTAAAAATAGCACATACGACAACCACATTCTGCAAATCACATTTCATTCAGATGGCATAGGCATGTTTCTTTAATATCTGTTTTCATTCATAGGTAATCACGAGGAAAGGCATGATAATCACAAATTGATCTCAAGAAGCTTTACAAGAAAATACAAGTAAGGGAGCTTTTGTTGTTGATTTGTGGTCTCATATTAGCTCGTACTGTATTTTAAAATGAAAATTATTACAAAAAATATTTTTCCAAGCTGAACCGAACTGGAAATTATGCTGTTTTTAATACTGTATTTTTGCATCACATAATTCAGCTTTAAATAATGTAATGCGTTACTCCATCTTTACTCATGGCTGGTTTCATTTTCCTTGTGTAATTCATTAGGCTTCCAGCTGACTTAGACTTAAAACTGATCACCTCCATGCTGTCTCCAGATGGTATTCTCTCAGTTGAGGTCCCATTACCTGGCTCTAATACCAGTCTCCCTGGAGAGATTGTCATCCCTATTCACATGATGGATAAGCAGTTGCCAGCAAAGTAGTAACTTAGTTACTGGTTTATATGCCCAATAAAAGTATTGACTGAGTTTTCCAAACCTTTTGTTTTTGATGGTTAACCAAGCACTGACGTTGCAAGAGAATATTCATCATATTTTGAACCATTACCATATTTCAAACATCACTGTGCAGACAGCTAGCTAAATAGATGTTACTTTGGTAATATAAATTATTTGACCATTATGCAATACATAATTTGTGCTTCATCTGATTTCTTCTAAGATTTATTACCAGTAAGACTGAAGAGAGATCAGACCAGTTCACTCTTTTTCAGGCTGGAATAAAAATGTTTGAAAAGGGTTTCATACTGAGGCTGGTGTCCTACAACGGCATGGACAATCTGTTTGATTTTGAGAGACCGTTTTACTAAATGTGTACCAATAACACAATACAATCATGTAAATATATTTAACAAGAGGACACTGAAATGGTGATCTCTAATGAATAATTAGGCAAGCATAACTCTCAGCATCATGCAGCCGAGTATGCTTCATTGTCACATCCTATATGGTGCTATTTAAAGTTGTAGAGTTCACACCAGATTCTGTGTCCTGTGCTTCACACAACCACACTGCTTGCAGCACGTGTGGCAGTTATGTAACCCAAAGCCTTCCTTCTTTGGTCCTTCTTGGAGATGATCAGAAGTATGGAAATAGGTTTCTTCTTACCTCTACAAGCTGTACCTTGACTATTTTTGGATGTGTTCCACAGCTTTCATCACCTTGGTCAGGAGCAGTGATCAAATGACATGTCTCAGTTACACTATTCATGGTAAAAACAGGAACATGTTACCATATGAGTCAGTATTTTGTTCTATTATCTCTGAATGATTCAAATATTTCTCGGACTCAGTTACTTATAGAATGGAGTGCCAATTCAAGCATCCACAAAATGACAGAATACTTTAGAATAGCAATATCTAGGTTGCTGACAATCAAGCATTTGCCCAATGCTATAAATCTACAGAAGAGCTCCATTGGCAACGTTTATTTGATACGTTTTCTTGATTTCTGACTATGAATTTTATTTAGAAATTATTCCACAGAGTTAACTGAAGACTTTAGAGTTCATTAGGTTGTAGACAGTGTAAGAGTGCAAAGTACACACATCATTTATTTCTATCCATATCTGTCAGAATTTAATTGGTTGCTTAAGGCACAAACAACTTCCTCTAAGTCATTCCTACAAGTTGTCAAGAGATCAGTATGTGCGCATATAGATTTTACACAATCAAATGTTAAAAATCAATTAGCGCAAATAAAAACCTATGTATCTATTTCTTGCATCAATAAGTCAATTAAAAGACCAATGAATGTGCCATCAGTTGTAAACTGTCTGAGCCTATTAAAATGCTTGTGATGACTGTTGTTGGAACATGCCAGATTAAATTGTGGGTTGGAACTGAGCCTGTAAATATACACCATATAACACAGCGGCATGTAGAACTGCCACTTGGCACCATCATTTAACTTACTGAGTGCACACATGGTGGACATGCCAAAAATACAGCACTGGGGATCTCCAATTACATGACAAGCCCTAAGCTATTCAGCAGGAAGGAGGGTGTTGAAATAGTGAGAATGTCACCGAGCTCCACAACGACCACTCTCTGTCTGTGGAATGAACATGTAATGAGCAAATAAAGATTAACGACTCAATAAATGTTTCATTTGTCAACATCTTCACATTTCGGTGGTACATGCACAACATAAATGTGTGAGCATAAAGGAACAGTTTTGCTCAGGAATACATCTGTTATTCACATTTAACGTTTTCTTATGTATTGAAGAAGCTTCACCTAGTATACATCTTTGTGTTAAGAAAGAAAGAAAAAAAAAGATCTTGAATGTTGGTCTTTGAAAATTAATCTTGTTCTTTCCAAAGATTGTTAATAACATTATAAAGTATGTTTCAGGACAGAGTTTCAATAATAATTGCAATTTAATATTATTTCATGATCATCACTGGAAGTACAGTTTTACTTTACAGAATGTGCAATGTAATGCTGTAAAACTTGCATTTTTGTTGCCTTTTAATTTGATTGTTTATCTTGGCTTGTATCTCTTTTAATCACTTCCCAAACCTACTAAAAGCCATGCATGCTAAGAATGTGCAGGCTCAGTGCTACACTCATTTGCCCTGCTATAAAAAATCAGGCAAATGTTATGCTAGTGTTGACATTTGTTTTTGAATGAATGACTGAGGCATATCAAAATATGCTTCAGGTGAATGTTTGAGGTGATTTTGCAATATTGTTAATATTTAATATCACATGCTTGTGAAGTATGATTATACGATATACGATATTGTCCTTATACTGAAAGAAAATAAAGACATCATCAAAGTTCATATGACACCAGTGGGTAAGTTAGAATGTTTTGAAGCATCGAAAACACATTTTGGTCCAAAAATAACAAAACCTACGACTTTATTCAGCATTGTACTCTTCTGGTTCTGCTGTCAATCCGCATTTAGTGACTCAAAGCTCTCGGACTAAATCTAAAATATCTTAAACTGTGAAGATGAATGGAGGTCTTACGGGCTTGGGACGACATGAGAGAGAGTCATTAATGACATAATTTTCATTTTTGGGTGAACTAACCATTCAAACAAAGTGAAGTTAGTTCTGAGAGATGGCCTAGATGGCATCATCTGTTTGGCAGATGAAATTGTTTCTAATGCAATACAATTTATACAAGTGTAACTTACAAGTCCCCAACTTTTCTGTTAGATACAGTACATTGTATAGTGCAATACATTGTTATATTGATGAATTGTTATAGGCCTATTGATGAAAGTAACATGCTTCAGGTCACAACATCTGCAAAGTTACAATGCTCAAATTTCTAAGCAAAGGAAGATATTAGCTTTTAAAGAAATACTTTTTTAAGTAGGCTATACTACAACAAACGACTGCAGGAACTTTTTTTTTAATTGAAACATTTTCAAAGAAAACAATCACAATATAGAACAAATAAACAGAAAAAAATACAAAAACAAAACAAAAAATACTACAAGACAGGGGTATATAACTAATCAGAAAAAAAATACATAGGCTATCAACGACTGCAGGAACTACACAACATTCCTCCAAGGTAAGTGACGTCACACATCCATTTTCTCACGCAGAGAAAAATCGCGAAGGAAAAAGAGGACAAACTGACTCATCCAATGGAGAGGTAACTTTTGATGTGAAACAACTTCTCAGCTCACAGATTCTGTCAATTTTATTTCGAAATTCAAACAATATACCGTTTTGGCGCTGGAAATGTGACGTCGTTGTAGCGCCTCAGTTGCTGCACGTGAACCAATCATAATTAATAAACACGAATGAACAGGTATGTTGAAAGAGACAGTAGCAGCCTACAATTTACCGAAATGTATATGGCCCATAGATAATTTCGATCAACCAGTGTTTTTCAATCGCTGAAAGAGGTCGATAAAACAGCAGGAGAACATAACCTTACCGCAGTAAAGTAATTTAATGACCACAGCACGTTGGCTAGAAAAATTAGCTGCTATAGAGTTGAGAGAAGCTATTTTGCTTAATATGTCCACTATATTACATTTTTACTTAGGCCTATATCATTCAAATATTATAACGTTGTTTTTACAATAAAAACCGCATTATATTGCGCTATATTATATTATATATTGAGTTATTTTTAAACTTTATATTACCAGCTGTTAGGGCTCTCTCTGTAACATTATGTGTTTTTTTTTTTTCTTGAGAAAAATTTGTTTGTATCTACTGTAACGTTACCTACTATATATCCAAATTAATCTATATTGAATTAAGATCGGAATAAAATCACAAAAATTGAATTGAAATTGTGAAATTTGTGTTCATCAGCAACATAAATGAACATAAATTCATCAACTAACCATCCAGAAATGCCCTGTTGCATTCTACATGTTGTCACTTCTTCTTGAATCTCTTCATGATTTTCCGACTCCAGTTTAAACATAAAAGGCATAACAGTTTCTGACCTCTTGAAAACTTTCCTCTCTGTGCCACAGCAATTCTTTTGCATTTAAAGGGACACACACAAAATTACACGTTTTTGCTCACCCTCAAAAAGGGAAATGTAAACATGCAGTAAAAATAATCGGTGGGGTATTTTGAGCTAAAACTTAAGATAAACAATCTGGGGACATCGGACACTTATTTTACATCTTGTAAAAGTGGGCATTATACCACCCCTTTAAGTCTAACATTTTCCACAGGAAAAACAACAAACCCACATCTCTAGGTCTCTCTCTCTCATTTAAAAAAGATCACAACAGAATTTATATCGAGACTAGTCCTGAACATAAAATGCCCATTATATAATGACATTTTGCTTAAGAGTTGTTCTAATTACAATACTTATCTTGAAGTCAGAAAGATCTACTTGTATTATCCAGTAGGGATGCTGCTGCATAGTGATGACAAAGCCAAGCAGTTCAACATAATTCTCCTTGACATTAACAAGCAATTTAAATATGAACTAATCCATGTGTGACTAATCTAGTCTTGGTTTCAGAGTCACTGATGTATCATAATACATCTGTTGACATTACATGCATCTTTACAGTAGGATTGAATGTCATTATAACTTATCAGTTATAAATGCTATTGCTATATCAAACAAAAGTATCTCTAAGACAAAAAATAAATAAATAAATAAATAAATAAATGCAACTAAAAAATGCAAACCTAGTATTTACGTTCTGGAAAAAAAGCAGTACAGTTATTTCCATCTTCAGAATGATTGTCAGTGCCAAGTGTTTCACCTGAATAACTCACTGACTCCCATTTGTGACATATTAGATATTAGTTAGCCATATTTAGCTTCTGCTTGGCTAGCAGAACAAAATCAATATAAGGCAGTACATGGACACACCCTGAAGTCAGTTGGGGAGACAACAGAGTGTGTGATTGTGGTGAGAACTTTACTTTCTTCAAGCATTACTGTTTGAAATTAGTTGTTACAAATACACTTACTATAGATGATGATTAGAGAAAATAGAGAAAAGGGTGACTATTCAATATTCTGGATGTCTGTTTGCATTCAAGTTGTTTTGTTTGATAATTCAATTAGAGGAAAATGTAGAACAGAAAGGTCATGTGAATTTTAAACCTATTAAAGGGCTGCTGGAAAAACTTCACCAGTGGGAAGAGAAAAAGAAAAGTTAATCCATATTTATTTTGGTAATAATTAAACAGCCATTTCTCATTTGTAATCCATGGATAGTTTATTTATTTAATTCATTTATTTTTGGCATGTAGTAGTGCAATTGAAATGTCATGAATATTTTTTTTTATATTACACTTGGTGTATAGATGATGACAATTGTGTAATTTTAACTTTAAAAAGTGAATGATGTATAGTGATGATTTCATGTAAATTAAACTTCAGTTCACTTCACTTCAGTTCACTTCAGTAAGCCGCCACCATGAGTACAGACGCGGAGATGGCCATTTATGGCAAGGCTGCCATTTACCTTCGTAAGCCTGAGAAAGAGAGAATTGAGGCTCAGAGCAAACCATTCGATGCCAAGTCTGCCTGCTATGTGGCTGATGAAAAAGAGTTGTACCTCAAGGCAACAATCAAGAGCAAAGACGGTGGCAAAGTCACAGTTGAATTGCTTGACACTAAGGAGGTGAGTTTTAATTTCCATTTCACGCATTACTCATTCAATTACTCATTACATTGTTTTCTTTTATATCTAATGTCTAATTTATCAAATTCATAGGAGAGAACAGTAAAGGAGGGTGACGTCCACCCAATGAACCCTCCCAAGTATGACAAGATTGAGGACATGGCCATGATGACCCATCTCAATGAAGCCTCTGTGCTGTATAACCTCAAAGAGCGTTATGCTGCATGGATGATCTACGTAAGTTCTGAAAACAGCAAACAAAAGCATTTAAGTTATTTTTGTCTGTGTTGTTTCAATCTGACCACTTCTCTGCTCATTTCAGACCTACTCTGGACTCTTCTGCGCAACTGTGAACCCCTACAAGTGGCTCCCAGTGTATGATGCAGAAGTGGTGTCTGCCTACAGAGGCAAAAAGCGTATGGAGGCCCCACCCCACATCTTCTCTGTCTCTGACAACGCCTATCAGTTCATGCTGACTGGTAAGATCTGATTTAGGAGATCTGAATTAAATATAAGCTGAAATTCACATCCATATTTTTTTTTTATATAAAACAATTGCTAAAACATTATTACCCTTTGAATTAACAGACAGAGAGAACCAGTCTGTCCTGATTACGTATGTATCAAGCCTTCAGTTAGAGTTGTTGAGAACAGTCATATTTTCCTCTTGTGGAACTTCCACATGTCTAACATCCTCTGACTTCTGATTTCTCATAAACCAGTGGAGAATCTGGTGCTGGAAAGACTGTGAACACCAAACGTGTCATCCAGTACTTCGCCACAGTTGCAGTGTCAGGTGGTGGTGACAAGAAGAAAGAGAGTTCTGGCAAAATACAGGTATGAGATATAAAACTACTTGCATATTATTTTCAATGATGGTGGTTTACAAGATTAATTTAATTGTGAAATGCCTATAAGTAATGTTTAGTCATTAAATAGAAAATAAATGAAAATAAATATAATTATAACTGAAAACCCTTCAAACATTATAGGGCTCTCTTGAGGACCAGATCATTGCTGCCAACCCTCTGCTTGAGGCTTATGGTAATGCCAAGACTGTGAGAAATGACAACTCCTCTCGTTTTGTAAGTTAACCACTTTTTATTTACATGTAGTACAATTATTCAGTTGTGTTGGATTTTTCAGTAAAGATACTTTGTTTTATTATCATTATTATC